AAAAAATATGCAAATAATTGATCACAAATTTTTAGTTGGATTTTATTAATTCTAAATTATTCATAGCAAAAATATAATTCATCGAAAATCTATCTAATAGCCAATATGACTGAATCAAACAAGAGACCTTTATATTAGCCAACGATTAGGTTCCTCGATCTAAAACTCAACTGACTATGACTGGCAAGATTAATGCAAAATCTGAAACGATATGTTGGGGAATAATTTCGAACGAGTGATATTTCACTATTAAATATTTCAAATAATATATCAAAAATTTCAAGAGCAAAAGCTGTTTATTCTTTTTCTTGGAACTAATTTAGAACATAAATTTAGCTATAAAATTTGGCAAAAAATCAGAAATTTTGTGAAATAAGAATGGAAAATATGAAGTGAACGATGAACGATGAACTAGAATTTAAAAAATATTCTAAAAACTTCCAAAAAATGCTGCAAGCCATTTCAGAAAAATTTTAAACATTATCTGAGATCTGAGATCCGATCTGAGATCCGTGATTTTACACAGCTAATGAGATTTGGAAAAGTGAAACGATTTTTTTTCAACAATATCAATATTCGTTAGCCAATTTATTACAAATGGTATTAATATTTTTAAGAAAACAAGAAGCGTCAACCATTGTTCGACTACAATGGAAGAAATTCACTATTAATCACCAAACCGCATGATTTATTCAACTGTAAAACATTTTTATATTTAAATTTATCATAAACAGATTTATTTATTTATATTTTTTTGTGTATAAGCGCAAATAAAATAGGTTTAAAAAAAATTTGAAAAAAAATTTCCTCCTAGCAGAAAATGTTAGTCAAATTTTTATAAAAACCAAAAATAACTATAACTGAAATTTAAAAAAAAGAAATTTTGACGAAAAATTTTATGAAAAGTTTTAAAATGCAATATTTTAAAACAATCTTTAATTTGTACTATTTTTCTCGAACTGAGATTCATGCGAAGGACGTTTTATCGCTGCTGAGCAAACGTGTAATTACCACTAAAGAAGAAGTTTTCTAGTATGGCTTTCGATCAAATAGTCTGGAAATATTTTATCAAGTTAATTTGATAAGCAACAATTATATAAACAAAAATTTAATCATTTAATCACCGATTAATAAAATTTCCTCATTTATTTCGAAAAAATTATGCTAATACTTTTTTTTTGTAAATTCAGATATGTTCTTGAAATTCATCCATAAAAGGCGATTAATTCGTTTCCCAACTGATAACCCAAACGTTAGAAACGTTAGAAACGTTTCCCAAACGTTAGAGTTATAAATTAGATTGTAAAATATGATGGCGATTTTATTAATTACAGAAGTTCCTAATCAATCGAAATATCGAAATAATCTGTTTGTTCATGAAGTCGGATGTTTTTTTTGCGTAAATCATTGTTATCAGCTGTTATGTATGAATGGATTATGGCGAAAATTGTTAATTAATATTAAAAGTTTGAAATGTAAACAAATTTTTCGCTTTATAAAGTTAGAGCATATAAAAGTTGGAAATTTTGTCATTTCATATCATTCACTATAAACAATGTTCTTGTTCCTTTGTTTGATCGTATTGCCTACAGTATTTGGTGGCACTACGGTACTGGAAATTTGCAATAAAACGGTTGGTGGTGATAATAAACGTCGTCCAACGGTTGATCCAAATCTATGCTATGATAATGACGCTAATGCTTGTCATGCAGCGTTAGGAGTGACAGATGGTCAAAAATTACTAAATCAAAATAAAGAGTAATAATTTTTTAAGTATTTTTAATACTACAACAGAAATATCAAGCTGTTATAATTTTTCTATAATTTTATAAAATTATTTATAAGCAATTTCTTTCTTAGTTTCGAAATTTAGCAAAAAATTTCACCTTATAATTCTTCTGAAGTACAGAGATGAGGATTATGAAGTGCATGAAAATTGTTATAAACCAGAGCTACGAGATTATGCACAACGAGAATGCCCAAGGACATGTGCAATGTGTTGCTTAAGCAAAGCATTCAATTGCGAAAATGGTTATTATTTTTAAAATTTCATTGTACGAGCATGACAGGGCAAAGAGGATCGTAGAAAAAGAATGGTTGTGGCTAGTAGGGGCAAAAAATTTTTTACTTTATTTATCATGAGATATGCACAAACATCTATGCAATATTTGGCTATGTGTTCGAGAAAAAGGCTCAACTATATCTTCCAAATCTTATTTTTCTTCTCCATCAGGATTTTTTCAGCTTAAACCCACTTTGGTTCTTATAAGCTATTGTAGTCCTATCACATTTCCCTTCTCTCCTTTATCTTCCTTTGATATATTGTTTTTATCTTGTATTCTGAAAAGTCTAACGACACTCGTTCATTGTCCCGTTACTGTTGTTATTATTATATTACAACTTCTTATATTGTCGTAATTTAAACAATACCTCTTTTTTATAACTGCTTAAAAAAAACTATATCATGCTTTCGAGAAAAGCGTAACAATAATACCTCTTTAAAATTCTAAATACTGCTGATCGTCCTAGATTTTACTAAGTATAAAGATTTATCAATGCAGGGACTCGAGGGCATTGCTTTGTCGAAGAAATGATTTTAATTTTTAATAATTATCGCAAGAATATTAATCTTATTTTTTAATCACATTATCATATTACCATTTTCGATTTCTCAATTTTTTAAGCAAGAAGACAATCGTTTTGAATATTTATTATTTTGAACAAATACTTATTATCTCTTGCAGAAAATTTTTGTACATAATAATATAACCAACCGCATTTTTCTTTTTCATTAATAGATATTTACATATTTAAAAATATTTGAATAGGTATAAAATTATATTTTAGACCCTTATACTAAAGAAATTTGTGAAAAATTGAGTATGGCTCACTGCCGAAATCCTATTTTATTCAAAATACTTCTCGCAAAATGCCCAGCAAAATGCGGTCTATGTGATAAGCCAGGAGCGCTTGGGAAATGTCCAGATGCCCACGACAGTTGTCCTGTGATTGCACGTTTTCCTGATGCTTGCAACAATGAAAGAATTGCCCAAATGTGCATGAAGACCTGCAATATAAGCACATGCTTGTCGGGTAAATTTTCGCTGAAACTATCTTTAATGAAGCAGAATGGAAGTCGAATTTCCTCATATTAACAAAATGTAGCAAAAAATACTTGCAGATTCAACTTCAACAATAGCAGTCACTCGTCCAGCTTG